TTATCAATCTTATAAATAAAATAAATATTAACCCATAATCTAGTCCCCATATCCATTACTTATTGCCCATAAATCAATCACCTCAAGTGTACATTGGTCTAGGATCACCCAAGGGGGCAAAGGGACACAAGCGTACCATCATGTATGTCCTTCCTTCCACAGCCATCAAACAGCTCTGGGGTGAAGGTGACCATCAAGCCGAGATTGATGACATCAAAAGGGAAAAGGCAGCCATGTCTTGCACGAAAAGTCTCCGAGTCCTAGAGGTGCTGAGGGCCCAATCACTGCGCTGGCAGCTGTATGTGATGATCACCGTCATGAGCACCCTGCAGCTGTGTGGCATCAATGCAGTTGAGTCTTTGCTCAGTGAAATCCCACAACTGCTGCTCTTCTCTGTCACTGTTGGCAGGAAGTAAAGCAACCTGTGGCTCAGCCCATCACAGAACCCAGGTTTGCAAGATCATAGAACCATTTAAGAAAAAAAAAAGTTTCTGGACCTTTTTGGTATAATCCAGGCTGGTCTGGACAACATCAGTCTCCCATCCTTAAAATCAGGTACTATTTAGCTGGATCTGAGGCGCCTTTTCTAAAAAGAACTTTTCCCTTCTCTCCTCTGTCTTCTCTTCTAAATACATTACCTATCTTCTCTTTTTTTTCCCCTAGATCTACTTCTACTCCTTTGAAGTTTTTCGCACAGCCCAGTTTGAAGAAACTCTCATTCCATACATTGCACTGGGTGTTGGCATCTGCGAGTGCCTCTCATCCATCCTGTGTGTAAGTTCAAGAGAACACAGCAGGGAAGAAGGGAGAACATTATTAAAGATGGGTAGAACCATGTGTTCCTTTTCTTTAGAATCAGGTTGAAGATGGTAAGTGATGCTGGTCCCATTATTTTTTGCTGACAGCTGGTTTTCTGTGAGACAGAAATGGTGTGATTTGCATCATTTGTGCTGATGCAATTATGCACTCTTTGATTTATCAGATTTCGGAGAATCTTAGCCTTTCCCACAATTAGTCCATTAAAACATGTTTTCTCTCTATTCCCTTTTCCTGCATTTCAGAGTTCTCTGATTGACCGTTTTGGGCGGAAACTTCTGCTATGGGGAGGATATGCTGTGATGGTGCTGGTGCTGGCTGCACTCACAATAACCCTCTCACTCCAAGTAAGGGAGATTGTTTAGTGTTTTCTGGCAAAAGAGGAAGTATCTGCTTCTGCCAATGGTTAAGTATGGCAGGAATGGTAAAATGAAGACCAGTCAGATCTGCACTGTGGGCATATCTCAGAAGTCCCATTCTAGTCCAGGAGGGTCAAATATCCCCTTAACCCAATTTGGCACCTCAAATCTCCAATTATGTTAGCAACAGTCAGGAATCAGAGTATTGTTGCTGTTATTTTTTAAAGGACCCTTTTTTTCATTCTAGCATCGCTTCTTTTGGATGCACTACCTGAGTGTCATTTTCATCTTCCTCTTTGTAATCTTCTATGGAATTGGACCTTGTGAGTATCTCCATGCTGGGCAGATGGCTGTACAGGTTTGAATGGTGAAGAACTGTCTCTGACCCAATCCTACCAAGACCAATGGCTGTGGGTATTTGGCCCACCCAGATCTGGGGATATTCCATCTTTGACCTTGGTTGGGGTTGCACTTCCCCTTCCAAGGCAGTGCACAATCTGGGGCTCTTCCTGGACTCCCAGTTCCAGCTCAAAGAGCAAGTGGCAGCTATAGCCAGGAGGGCCTTTGCACAGTTTCAACTGCCCTTGAAGACCACCCAGAAGTTCCAACCGGTCCAGAGCACAGTGGCACAGACTGTCAGGGTACTGTGAGTGAAAACGAGCAAGTAGTTTAGGGGCTTTAACATTAATACTGTCCACCCATTCATGATGGGTCTTGGGAAAATGCTTCCACTGAATCAGGTACTGGAGTTTGCCTTTATGTTTTCTAGAGTCCAAAACGTCTTTTACTTCGAAGTGACTTTGTCCTTCAATCATGAAAGGTGTTGGTGGAGACGGATCAGGATGCCAAGTTTCAGAGGGCTTGAATGCTTTCAGCAAATTTGCATGGAAAACAGGATGAATATTTCTATAATGTTTAGGCAAAGATAACTTAAATGCCACAGGATTTATAACTTTCTCAATTGGGAAAGGACCCACATATTTTGGAGCAAGTTTTTTGGATGGTTGGGAAGATTTTAAGTTTTTTGTAGAAAGCCAGACTAGGTCGCCTACCTTCCAAGGAGGGTTTGCAGTGCGTTTTCTGTCGGCGAATTTTTTATGCTGGCTTTTTGCTTTTTCTAGAGATTTCACAATTAGTGGCCACAGATTTGTAATGTTATTTATCCATTGGTCTGTTGAGAATTCAGGGGGGTTTTTAAGTGGTAATTCTGAGAAAGGCGGAAAGTCCTGGCCAGATGCTATTTTGTATGGCGTAAATCCAGTGCTTTGATGCACTGTGTTGTTATAAGCTACTTCAGTGAAAGGAAGGAGCTCAGACCAATCATCCTGTTGATGATTTGTGAAACATCTTAAATATTGTTCCAATAAAGAGTTAATTTTCTCCGTAGATCCGTCAGTCTCCGGATGAAAACTGGAACTCAAAGCTTGATTAGATCCAAGTAATGTAAGAAATTCCCTCCAAATTTGGGAGGTGAACGGTGGGCCGCGATCTGAAATCACCCTCTTGGGGCCCCGGGTTTTTGAGCTTTCGCTACAACTTTGCCTTTTGTTTTTAGTAAATCTGTTAATGGCAAAGCGACTTGTGC